GCATTCCTGGCTAAGTGAACTATGATTCGGAGTTCCTGTGAGTCCCTTGTGAAGCACAGTGAAAGTCGCTAACCCAGAAAGCCTGCCCTCCGTAAGTAAAGGGCTTTCTAGGAATGCTGGCAGCATTGCGCTGTAGAGGCTGGGCTGAGTGCCGAGGCCTGGACCTCACTCTGCCACTCGTGTGCCAGCTGACCTCAGACAAGCCCTGTCCTCTCTCTGGGTCTCTAAGATGTGAGAGGGTGGGAGCTTGCCTCCATAGTCCCTGCTAGCTCTAAAAATGATGTGATCTTGTCAATGGGTAGAAGATACATGTTCTCCCAGATTCTGGAGGCAAAGCTAGGTGGCCTCATACAGGAAGTTTTCCTGATTAAGTCCCCTCTCCTTCTCCTCTGTCAGATAAAATGCAGTTTTAGCCATTTCTCAGAAGAGCCGTGAGAAGTGGAGAGAGGCTGTGATGGAAAACGACTCTTCACTCTGAAGTCCGAGATCTAGCGTGGATGGGCACTTCCCCGTTCAGTAGATATCATGATGGCCTTCCCGGCAGGGGCTTCACTCAACTTGTAGGGGAAAAACCAAAGTCCTCACCACAGTCCATGAGACCGGATCCATCTCCCCGGTACACCTCTGACCTGTTCGCTCTTTCCTCATTCCTTACTCCTGTCACACTCCCGCTCACCTCAGGGCGTTTGCACTTGCTGTTCCCTCGGCCAGGCATAGTCCCTCCATTTTCACATCCCTTCCCCTGCCATTGACAAACCCTTTCAGGGCTCAGCATGTATGCATTTTCCCCAGGAGGTCCCTGTGACATCCTGGCTGGCTTGGCCTCTGTTCAAAGCTCAGAGACCTCAGATATCCCCTCCTCCTCAGCACCAAGCACACCTGCAATCCATGACCCTTTGGGTAATTCTAATTTATTTTTTATTTTTTTTTTTAAGAGGTTTTTGCTATAGGGCACGTGCGCTTGCCAGACAGACAGAGAGAGACAGAGAGACAGAAAGCGAGAAATCACCCTCCAGGGGGGATGGCCACGCTGCAATCCCTTCTCCTCCATTCTCCTCTCGGGATCTTGGGCACGCATGCACACGCGCCCGGCGTGAGTTTAAGCCTCCAGGTCCAGGACTTGAACCACGGTCAACTACATGGGAGTCCAGAGACATAGCCATTACGCTAACTGCTGGTCCCGGTAATTCTAATTTATAGCAATCCTCCCTCAAGTCCATAATCTCCCTAGGGGCATTCCAAGCCTGTCTTGTTCACTGATGCACCCCTAATGCCTGGCTCTATGCCTTCCGCCCAGTAGATACTGATCGATGATGGTTAAGTGAATACATGACTTGCTGGGTGGCCTTAAGCAAGTCATTTTGCCTCTCTGGGCCTGTCCTCCCCAAAAATTAAGTAGCTAGATGGTATGTCAGAGCTCTCCCAGGGATGCTCAGGGACAGTCAGGTTGGTGGCCCAGGAAACCTTGCTCGTGCCTCACCACCTCTTCCAGCACCTTGCTTCCCATGGGAGCGTGTACATGCAACTTCCATTGTTCTGAGTGGTTCTTTAGGTAGGCTTCAGCAGCATTATCTAATTAGCACTAAGAGGAAGCCCAGCAAGGCCAGTCCTCACGACCAGTATCAACCAGGAAGTGCTAGAGGAAGTCATTGCTCACAGGGTCTCTCTGACTCACCCACCACATGAGAGCACTTGGCGGGCTGGAACCATGTCTGAGTTGCCCGTGCCTGCAAGGCATGAGGAAATACTGTCCTGAACTGAATGAAGCTGGTACTTCAAAGACCTTATTCAGACCCTGAGAGCCTCTCCACAAGGTCCCTCTGGCCCCATCGTTATAGTCACAGGAAATGACTGCCAGGACGTAGCAGGCCAGCTGCTCAGCAAGGGATGGTCTTCCTCTGTTCTTCTTGCTCTTGCAAATAACCCTGCTGGACACCTCTTCCTCTCCAGACCTTAGGAATGAGTCTCTAAATAGGGCAGCCCAACAAGCAGGCTGACAGTAAGGCACACACTGGTACCATCATAACATTGCTTACAGCCGATGAGCCCCCAGCCTGTGGGGTGGTTACATATTTCAGTCATCATCCAATGGACAGGACAAAGACCCAAGAACACCTCAAGCTGCCCAAAGGATTGCTGCACTACCCTCTCCCAGGATCCCTGGGAAAGACACCATTCAGCAATGCAGGACAGCCAGACATGCCATGTGCCCCCTGGCTGGCCAGAGAGACAGAGGTACCAGGACAAGAAACCCCCGAAGCCCCATACAAGTCCTCCTGACCTTGTGATATGTCATGACTGGCCAAGTTTGGCCAAGAACAAGGAGAAGCCCACTCTCAATAGAACCTGGTGTGCTTCACCCACCCCACCAGATGTCTCTGGCTGCAGGAGAGTGGCCCAGGCCTGCACTACGATGGCAGGCGCGTGGGCGTGCGTCACGGGCATACCTGCTCGGGCTTGATGGGCTCTGTGGCAGTGAAGAGGTCCGAGTAGTGCTGCCTCTCAAACACGCGGTCCAGCACCTCCAGCTGCTGCTGTGTGAACAGGTCTCCTCGCATCTGCTTCCGGAGGAAATCTCTGCCTGGAAGTGAGTGACCGTTCGGCACTGGAGACTCCTGAATACCTTTGATGAGCACGAGAGAGGAAGGGTGAGTGGAGGTTGTACAAGGAGCTAAAGGAAAACAGGTCAAACCTCGAACCTGGGAGGGCCTGAGAGATCCGCAAGCCCAGATCCCTCCCTAACAAGACGAGAAGGGACAGGGGCTCAGGTAATGGTGAATGCAGAGCCAGCTGCCATAGCCACATGCCAGGCTGGGTACGAAGCCCTTCTTACGTACACCATCTCATCTTACACTCACCAGGAACTCCGATGTATATTAGTATTAGTATTTTCCCCTGGCTGCAGAAGAGAAAAGGTGAGGTCTAGAGAGATGAAGTGATTTGCCTGAGGGTGTGAGCTCAGGCTGACTCAGAGGCTTGGTCACCTGTGCCTTTGCTCTCTTCGAAGACCCTCCCTGGAGGTACTTTCTCCCACAGCTGATACGCTTACCCTGGGCATGTGCCACTACACCATGCAACCCGTCTATAAAACACAGCTAGGAAGGCCGTAGGGAAACACACCTACACAATTCTGATGGGTGTGGCCACACACCTGTGCTAGACAGTTTGACAAATGCTGTTGAAATCCCCAGTGTACAGGCTTTCCCAGTGACTGCATCTCTGTCAGCCAGACATACACATGTGGGGAGTGATACATACATCCATGGTGCTAGCAGTAACAGACTGGAAACAGCCCGAGGCTTTATTGTGAGGGGCTAAGTTGCGGCGTATTTACATAGCGAGGTACTGTAACCACAGCCCATGGGAAGGACAGCTCCCTCTGAGAATTGATATAGAAAGATCTTCAAAATACATCATCATATGAACAAATAAACAAGTATGTAGATTATATCACCTTTTGTGTGAAAAAGGAAGAAAATAAGGCTTCACGTATGCACGGGATACACAAGAAACCTTCACAGTGACTACTAGTTCAAGAAGGCAGAATCTGAGTGGATGGAAACAAGGGGAGAGACTTTTCATAGCAAGCTTCTTAGTTTGTTCTGGTTTTATTTCAGAACTTTATATGCACTGCCTAGTCAAAAACATAAATTAAAGAAGTATAAGATTGGGGCCAGGAAGTGGCGTGGTGGTTAAGACCCTGATCCCACATAGCTGACTGTCAGTTCAATTCCCGGACCCAGCGACTTGAGCACACTGGATGCATATGTGCGCGTGCCCAAAGTCCTGAGAGGAGAAAAGAAAGGAAGAGAGGGCATCGTGGAGTGGCTATCGCCTTCGTGTGTGTGTGTGGTGATGGTGTGGGGGTGATTTCTCATTCTCCTCTTTCCC